ACTGCTCTTATTTATATCGACAAGCGAGATGCAAGGTAGTGATATGTCTTGTCCAAGTAAACGGTGCACGTTTAGTGTGGGTGAGGGAAGATCAGAGTAGGATGCAGACTGATCAGTGTGTTTATAAGGTTTCACATTACTCGCTTTAGTGACTGATTTAGATCTTTTGCAGGTGCTATAGGCATCAGGAGAGATTATATGTTTTTTAGATGGCCTGGACATTAAAAAAGTGATGTAAATACAAAGTTTAATTAGGTGGACGGCGATAGTTGTAATTTAACTTAGTGAACGTGTAAAGTTTTATGTTAGGATCAGACCCAGTATTAGTTAAGAGTGAATATATTAACGTTAATTGGTGATAGAGATAGCGTGAAAATTAGCAAGATTAATTTATGACGTTGAGTTCCTAAATAAGGTGTCAAGTTGATAGAACCCTATCAGTGACGAATTATTTATCGCTATTAAGTGTTAAATTAAAGAGAAAAACTAATAGGAAAATAAAATAATACCACGTGAAAAAAGTTACAACCTTCTACTACGTAGAGCTTTATTTTCTATATTCATGAAATACTTGCGTTTAGATGAAGCATTTCTGTCGATTAATTTAAGTATACTCTGAAGTGCATACACATCATTCTGCTCGTAGTAGCAGCATTTCAATTTCCTCGGCTTTTTTAAAAAGTATTCTGGCCCCTATTAGCATTATAAGCCACACGGCCAATAACTGGAGCTGTGCAGTCAAGGCAATATATCAGGTTGTGGCATAGATTGGAAAGCGCAATATCAACATTATTTGTGGTAAAATAAGTTCCCCATGGTAAACATTGAATGAGAGTTTCAGTCCGTTTCCATGTTTGTTGATCAAAATGTCTGCTCTGGTACATCATTGAAGCTTTAGAGTTCAATTGTATGGCGTTTAAAGAGTGAATAATACTCAATACAATTCTATGGTCACTCATAAAAACTCATGACTGGTATGCACTGAGATAGAGTCTATGTTGATTGTGAACATTAAATCAAGTGTATTATCCCCCCTGGTCGGTTTTCGAACCTGTTGAACCTATCCACAAATTTCTAGTGTTTCAACTAGCTTGTTATATCGACCTGGTACCGCATTCAAGCCCCATGTAATTTTTGGCAGATTAAAATCACCTCCGATGATTTTAAAAGTATGCGGTTCGTGCAAAGCAATGGAAATATGTTTGTTAGTAATCTGTCAAACTTAGTATCCGCATGAGGTGGTCTATATATGCATCCCACCAGTAAATAATTTTGGGATCCACAGTTTACAGTAACCCAAGTGGAGTCGTCCATAGCATCAAGGGATTTATCCTCAAATTTGCACGCTTGAATGTCTGAACGGACATAGATAATTGTACCGCCTCCTATTCCATAACATCTATCGGTTGAAAAGAAAACGTAGTTATCTACATTCAAGGAATGATCGGATATAGATGAATTACACCACGTTTCCGTAATAAGTACAATGGTTGGATTTACAAGGAATAAAAGAGTTTTAAGATGAATAATTTTATTGGACAGAGAGCGGGCATTGTACGAAAGAATAAGAAACTCAGAGTTATCATGGTGAAGCGGGTTAGAGTATAAATCGCAATTGGTAGTTCCATGAATACTCGTAGGGTTGGCTAAGGTAAGAGGTGTGTCGCGAGGGGAAATAGATTCAACCACTTTGTCATCATGTGAAATATGTTTACCGTTGCCGGCAGGAAAGCCGGCGGAATTACAAAAAAGTTTTCTCATTGCTATTGGATATAACATCTGATAAAGGCATAGTGTACATATTGGGAGCCGGACCAAGAAGGCTATCAGGTCTATGTGTGCGACCAAGTTGTCAATTACAATTCAGATAACTATTTATACCTGACGTATGGGTAACGTGTTTAAGACGTTTATTTCCAAGGTTTGTGGTTGATTTCGGCTTCTTCATAAGTTGGAGAGGATTGTGTGCTGTTAAACATACTTGCTATGGTTTGAGAGGTTCGAATATATCAACGTTAAGTGCGTGGTCAGTTATATGAATGTTATGATTAGTTTTCTTGTTATTCGTTGCAAAGTTACTGTAATTGGGTGTTACACTAACAGGGGTTTGGACTGTGTTATCCATTCGTCATCAGCACAATTACTTCGGGTTGAATCTAAGTCAACATTCTTAAGAGGATGGACACCACTTACATCGGGATTACTTTCTTCTGGGTTTTGAACTTTAGGAGATTCAGAAGAGTTTTTCGGTGGCGGCAACTTGTAAAGCTAGACGTCCTCTCAGAATGGGACTTAACTTCATGACCATTAGGATTATGATGCGTTTGAGAGTTTGACGCTGGTGGTCTGTAGCTATCTCTTCCTGCTTTTCGCTGGCATGGTGTTTTATCCGGAAGAGTCTTAATATCCTTGAAAATCTGTTTTTGTCTCAATGAATTGGAGGAATTTAAAAATTCACTGGCGTCTACAGATGAGTCGAATTTGAACAAGATCGGTGAGTGCATACCAGGATGACTTCTTTTTCATCTTGTGCATACACATGGTACGTGTGTCATATTGCTGGCTCTAAGCAGATTAGATTTGATATTTTTAAGGGCATGTGTATCCGGTATATTAAACACAATTGCATTGCTAGATCGTCTTATTCTTTCAAATACCTCTGATGCAACACGATCTAGGAGAATATTTATGTCATTCATTTGATCTGGAGTTTCTGTGAGGTCGGGGTTGATGAGATATTTAAGCGGATTGAGAATGTTCATGTCTACTTGCAACTTTTCTATAGCATCCATATGGTTGCAGTTGCGATTATCATCACTGTTTACCAGCAGAGTTTTCAACATGTCTGGAATGGAGACAACTGGTAAAAGCTTGTCTGCTTCCGAATAAACGGAGTGGATCGTCTCGTTGAAACTGTCGAAAATCGTGTCAGTAGTGGTGTTAAATTGTGTCGTTTTCCTACGTTTGGCTGGACGCCTAGAACCAAGGGTCTTCATTTTCTTTTGTGGCATGATAAGAAAGTGACGTATAGCAAAGGATTGAACAGAATGTTGGAAATAGAAAGGGGTGAAAAAAATCAATTCCGAGGGCTCAAGTTAGTCTAAAAATCAAAATCTATGTTTTAACCAAGAGTGAATTTATCGTGAGGATTAGTGGTGTCAAAAACAAAAGATGACAATGTCAGGAAGATAGTAGTGGAGATGAAGTATTTATGTCAGTGTCTGTGTGGAGGCAAAATAGAATATAAGGAGCAAGTTGTATAAATTTTAACACATATAGGACACGAAAGATAGCTTTATATAGTAAAGTAATTTAGAAATGTCGATAAAATTGGACCACTATCCTTAAAGACCTCTGGAGACAATCCCCTGCTCTGCCTTGTTTCAGATTAGCTATCACCTTCTGAACATCAGCAAGAGTCGGGGGATCTATTTCAATGTTCCATTCCACTGTCTGGAATGGAGGGTATTTGTAAGTAGCTGAAGGCCAGCTGAATGGTTCTCTGAAATTTCCGCCCATCTTCACGTCTGGACTGGGATCAGATGAGGGGTCGTCTTTTTCCGAACTAGTCCGAATTACACTTGATTTTTAATTCCAGTTTCTTTTATTAGTCTGTAGGGCTGTCTTGTGTTCCCTATAGTTGCCGCCTTTTCCATCTCTTTTGCTTTCGTGAACACTGCTCACGGTCGTTCCTTAGACTTTTGCTTAACCTAGATCTGATTTTTTGTCGCTCTTCATCGTGTTCAAGCCCGATGGGATGAGTTTAAGAGAATCCTCAGTGCAATAGACCTTGAGAAATCCATTGGTTCTTTGTAACCCTGTGGTTTAAATCACTAATAGATGTCACAGCTGTTTGTATAGCTTTCCAAGCAACATCTGGGTCAACCTCGTTTTCAGAACTACCTAATTGTGACCTCATTGTTGTTCCTGGAACCTACTTTTGGTTTTCTCGCTACTCAGTTCAGTTCTAATGCGTCTTTTTACTAAGGCTTTTTTGCGTCCAGTGAGGCGCAAGCAGATGCGTTCCCGTATTAGGTAGCGAAAATTATGCAGATAAGACTGAAGATCTGGAAGTTGTGTTACTTTTCGTGCTGTAGTGGGAAAAGGACATCATTGTTTTTTCTGGGTGTAATCCAATTTGACTGTGTTTTTTTGTGTTCAGCTATTCTCAGTTTTCAATAGTTTTCGAACCTTTAAGGAGTCGTCTTGTAATGAGAAATTGACTCGAAAAGTATGTTCGTATTTTTTGGACTGGAACTCAAATATAATACTTGCATGAATATCATAGAAGTGATTTAGGATCGGTGACTGATCCCATAACATCAGAGATCGTACTAAATTGGTTTGGTTGGGAAGTTTCTGCGTAATCATCTCAGCCATTTAGAATTGTGGTGTCTGAAATTCTCGCTGGTGATATTTTATTGTAGAATTAAGCTGCTATGGAAAAATTGGGATTATTGAATTGATTTTCCTCACAGAGTTAATAGCTTGTCATCATATAATATTGTGTTCGACTGTCGTTTGATTTAGATACTGATATGGATGTTACGTCTTTGCCAACCCAACCTGCCACTTACGTATGAAGACAAGGAGTTTTGTCAGTTAACCAAACCAAATATATACAAAACTTATTCAGGGGCATTTGTCATCTGATTAAGTAAGCTAGATTTCAGTTACTAAAATTTATCGGTATCTCCTAAATAATCGAGTCAAACATCGAACAATAGTATACAGCTGTCAACATCTCTCAGCTATCGTTCGACCCTAAACTTATTGACCCAGAGCATCAACTATCCATCAAATTATTTTATAACCTTTTGTATTGTTTTTACCTCTTTTTATGTCAAATTTGGTGACAGTTAAGCTCGAAGCATCTTGTGTTTATAAGTTATACTTATGTACAATAGAGTACATAATATATTTAAAATTGGCCTCAGTTAATGTGAATTGTAGTTTTTTCTCAGCATCTAACTTCGTAATTCAATTTTTATTAAACTTAGGATCTCAATAATTGTGATTTACTCATCATAATGGGTACTTCGTTAACTGTGTTACCATTCTGTGCTATGATCCATCGTGTTGGTAATGATGTCCCGCGACTCTACATTAATCGAGAATATAACGATGGATCTACAGAGCCTGTAAGTTTGCTTCAGTCTGTGAATGACTATCATTCATTTGTTGTTCATATTTTTATCCAATTATTTAATACCGTTCGAAAACTGATCATAGTAAATAACTCGATAACACCTAGGTCTAAATTAATGTTGATCGATGTTACCATTTTTAAAGTGTCCGAGTTGAAACACAGTTAATCAGTTTGGTAGTTACCTGTTGCATTCAAAGTTTACTATACTGATTTATTCGTACACAATTTTCCGGCATCATGGCTGCATGAGAGGTATTTTGTTCATAATATGGCTCCGTAAAATGAAAAATAGTTGTATTGTACTGGGCTCCACAGATCTGTTAGTATGTCATTGGCGGAGTCCCTAACATAATTCGACTCATCGTCTAAAGGCATTTTCGAATATAGGTTAGAAGACATGACGGCGCAAGTATTTCTCATATTTATTATCTGAACACATAAATATTGGTACAAAGGGGCACCAGATGCATATGTGCCACACAAGTCACTTAGTTTGTGTGTGGGATGTGATATTGCCTGGGTGCCCAAACCGAAGCAGGCGATTTCCTTAAGGGGCCACACCCGGAGCCTTTGACCTAAAGTCCTGATCCACAAGGCAACGTCAGGAGACGCAGTTCCATGGTAACCGATGACCAACGTTTGGTTCATACGCCATTTATTCCTTCAGGATACTGGAGCTCATGTGCACCATTGATTTGGAATCAGAGTTTTCCAACTCCCCTAGATAGATCCTCCATGCCCACCAACCCGGTTAAAGTGCCGGGCATTCGCTTCCCGTCCTTTGAATTTCGTAAAAAACACCTCCGCCACGAGAAGACAGTGAGTAGGACTCCCCTGGTAGTGGCGGTATACTTGTGGCCATGTGAGGACATTTCTCAACCAATGATTGCTATACCCGAAATTGTTTATTAAGGTAAATAGGCGTCTACAAAATTATTGTCTTTCGAAGGTTTACATTCACACATTTTGTAAAAATTTCAGTTTCTAGTTTCAATCAAGCTACTACGTAGCTATTTGTTGAGCATGTTGTAGGTTGCTATAGGAGTTAATGAATAGTAACTGACAAATTATTGCGATATGTACAGTCAACCTTCAGTAATGTCTCTGTCTTTGTTATTAGTTTTTATGTGATAACTTGCTAGTAATGACACTCTCTTTTAATATTAATAACCCTAACACAATGTTCTATGAGATATTTACCACATTTGATTGCTTCGCACCAGGCTACCAAAAATTCAAAAACGTGATATACTTATAATACCCATAGTGGACTTCACAAACACCACATATGATTGATCCTAATGTCTAAGTCGTATACTAAAGCCACTTCAACCTAACCTAAATAACGTCTTAAAGGATTCATATAAATTTAGGTCAAAGGTTTCGGAATTACCCATCAATGAGAACAAAACTATAGTAAGCTTTTGTGTACCTTTATTCTCTAGTATTTCAAATCAAAGCTGTCTGGATTTTACTCATGGTTTACTACGAGCCATGTGACTGGTCTGATGGTACTGGCAAAAATAAGCGACTCGATATGGGACATAAATAAATTAGCAACAATAGATATGGGTGATTCGATAACTTCTCCATTCGTTTTTTGATATACAGTACCAATGAAGGTGAACAACGTTGGAATGAAGTATAGTTTGAGAGATTTTATGAATGATCTAATGCTTAAAGGACATCTACATAGTATTATCATCTATTTATTTTCTGCACTACTTCATATTACAAATTATACATTTTTCACAATCACCATCATAGATACAAGTGAAAATACTGAAATAAACAGAACATGACATTGTCATATTCCAACCTATTATGACTTTTATTGCGCTAAAAATATTCTGCTTTGTTTCCTTTATACTATTCAAACTTATTAATTAATTTCCGTTACTAACTTATTTACTCTGAAAAAGTGACTTACACTAATTCGCGAAATGTTAGAAACACAGATTTCTACTAATTTGGACATCATAAAAATATAATTGCTACTTAATCAGCTATGTTTAATTTATCTCTCAGTACGTCGTTTTACGTTATTTTTATTGAGGGTTTATCTTCATTCATTATGCGGTTTATGGTGGCTGGTTTTAAACAGAATTATATGAAATGGGGCAGGTCTGATAATAAACGTGATATATTTTGGTCGGGTAACGCTGATGATGGTGTAGTCAAAATATCAGAACTTCTTGACTGGAAGGTAAGCGCAATATTCCATTTTGTGTATTAGGTATTTATTTATGTTCCATTGTTATGTGAGACATTGGTGTGAATTGAAGATTCTTTTATGTTTAGTGTAATTTGTGTCCTTGTAAATAATATATGAATTTAAATTTTTCATAAATGACGTTTATTGGAATAGACTGTCATAGGGTTTTAATTGTTTCCATTCCACTTTAAACTGCTCTAGATGTTTCAAGTTTTTCTATTTATTATGTATCATACTAATTCTTTTCATCTTAATTTAAGTTGATTGTGATTCAAATCTCTCAAAGTCATATCACTTAGTCACCACACAACTCATAACAGCATAAAACGTTGATAAATTGTGTAAATGAATTCACAAGATATAATAATGTGGATTATATTGGCTGTCATACTTTTTGTTCTTAATAAAAGGGGTGTATTAAAATTCAATTAAATGACCAACGAAGAATTTATACACACGAATTCTAGTCGACCTTGTACAAAAATGATATTTTCCAATGCTGTCTGTTTTGTAATCAGCTTTTATGCTAATTGCATTTTAGTGTTCTGTAGCCCTATATCTGACTCCAGTTAAATCGTATGCTGATTGTTATCAAACTATACTTTCCACCAACCGTCGTATATTTTTATCGATTTAATTCGCATTAGAGGATAAAGGAATTAAATAAGCCAAATACGAGCATGCATCTTGAATCCGTATATTTTTTACACTCATTGATCCAGCCAGGTAATCAGGGGACGAAGTGAAGAAAGGGAAGCACAAGACGAAACGAAATGAAGTGACGCTCAACGAAGGAGAGTGGGCCAAGTTGATTTTAATCGAGCGTGACTCACTATTTATATTCAAACAAAAATAAGTTAGACATGTCATGAATAGGTTGAGCAATTAGCACACAGACGATATGAAAACAGTCAGGGTTAGTAAGCGAATGAATGACAGGGTCAAAATGTGGCTTGCGAAGAATGAATAAATTGGTTTGTCCAAAAGCTAGAGTAACCTATATGGGCTGACCATACTGCCAGCAACTACAAGTGTACCAAACAGTCCTGAATTTTGTGTTCATTTAACCACAAGAATAATATACATGTGTATATCCTATTTGCTTGAACAGTCATAAGAAGCATAATTCAAATACAAACAACATTTGAAAGTTCAATCAATGATACAAGTTTCCAGGCAAAGTAATGGTTAAAATACATATGTTTTAATATCACTTGATAATGTAAATATCTTATGAAACAAACTAATGACCAGTTAGGGTCCTTTTGGAAACGTTCTTAAGGAACTATATAAATAAGCTTCGAAAATCTTCGTCATCTTTTAGAAATCTGTTTATTCACAATATAGTAAACTGTACAATTTATCATATATTTAAAAGGTCAAAAGTGTAATTATGTGAAACTGTCAGTGAATGAATCCAATAGCAACAATTATGCCACTATTATTTAATGTGCATTCAATCAGAGATAGCTATATATTAAATGTAATGTAAGAGGAGTATGTATGGTAGTGGAGTCGCTGGTTTTTAAAGCCACTAAATCTCATGCTCAAACTGTTGAGGATGCCAAATATCCAGAATACACTTAATAAACGTCTTATTTTTGTCATTTTAGTTTGGAAGTTTGAATTTCTTGTTTTTGCACCGAAAGCGCACATTTTCACCTTCAGATTATATTTCCCACTTGGAAGGACCCTAAATTTCATTGGTCCGTTGTCTCTTAATGTTTTTGTGACGTTTCTCAAGGGCATTGTTGTGCTATATATATATATATATATAGCGGGGCTGGGACACATTGGAATAATTTAGCTGTCTTGTTATTGTGTCGTTGAGTCTTCGTTCCGTTCTCCGATTCAGGCGATCTCGTAATCTCTTCAAACATAGCAATTTGGCGACGAGGTTGGTGCTAATATGGATCCTTCGAAAGTGGAACTATTGTTGAAACAGCAACTGAAACTCATCATATAATAAGATTTCACGTGAAGTCTCATTCAGACGTGTTATCGTTTCACAATATAAAATGGGTTTGTTCATCTTTAATTCCTGTCAACCACGTAAAACCACATAATATAATACTACTTTACTTTTTAAATTACAACTAAATTAACCAACACCACTAATATATATAAATTGTTTTTTTCTTCACTACTCATTAGTTTGATGGTTTCAAGTTTTTCATCTTATGGCACTTCATTATTTAGTCTGCTTAACTACAGTTACATGTTAACTCTAACATTAACATCTGTCAAATTCTTTCCTTTTGTTTTAGGATGATCTTTTGAGATTAAAAGAGGAGACGGACTCTCGCTTAAATGAAGAGTTTATAGCAAAGAAATCCCATGACAAAATTCTGACAAAATCAGTGGGCAATGATTAAATTGTTTTATTCATTCTGTCATTCTGATAGACTGAACTGATTATCAACGTGGAATGTGATCTTACTGACCTTCCTGTTTTTTATATCTTCTGAATTTATTTTAAATAGAGTATCTATGGCATTTCTCGGAGCTTTTATCTTGAAATATTTTAGATTATGAATGAGTTTGACTCAAACAAAATCCATGTTTAATTTTATCAAGAATGTTTGCAATGTTTTTCTTCCGAATATATAAGACTTGTAGGTCATATAAATAAGCTTTATAAATTACAATCATTCAGTTGATAGTGACAGAGTTGACTGAAGTTCTGTGTTCGAAAATGATGTGAGGCTCCGCGTACGAAAGTTGATACTGGTACGCAAGCTTCTTACACACGAGTCGACTCAACATTCCTGTGTGGCAGTGTGATAATTTTTCTTATTACGACTCAAATATTCCTATTGCTTAGTATTGTTGGGCACCAACTCGCTCGACAAGTCCCCAAATCAGAACACGATTGTAGAGGAACGAAATTATACTCCAAATAAAAGTAGATGGAAGTAAGAAGCACAATAAGAAAAACGTTAGTATATTTATAGTTTTTACATGCGAAGGCTCTAGAGTATTCTCCAAGCGTGCACTAACACAATCCTGCAGATAACGCATTTTAAACCAATTTGTGCCCCACTACCAGGCAGGATGAATTTTTCTGCTCAGCCCCCTAGTTCTTTAACTTTTGTAGGAAGTATGGAATTGGTTAAGGCAATCTAATATCCGATACTAGGAACTGGCTACAAACCATTTCGAGTGCGCCCATCAATTTACAAAGTAAGCGTTACAACCCATTTACTCTTTCAACTTCACTTTATTTTCGAAATAACTGAAATCGGTCGTTTGAATATACAATTAAGAATGGCTTTGCTTGGCCCATTTATATACTATTCTGTAGTTACAGGTTTTGACGCTTACTGACACAACTGTCATTTTAGTTTGTTCATGGGGGTTGTGATCAATTAAATAGCCAACATCAACCGTCGATACAAAACTCCCGGATATTTCTAATGGCAGTCGTTATCAAGTTTTGACAATCAGAGCACAAGCGGGGACAATCGAGTGCATTTTATTTTCGACTGATGATACATACTACTTATATCTGTCGACACCAATAGCGCACACCACAAGTGTTGTTGATTCTTCACCTCTTAATCATATATTGCCGTATGAAATTACACGCGAAGGTAGTACACATTTGCCTAATCATAAATCAAAAATCTGAATATTTTAAGCACCCTAGTACATAAATCACAACAAATTCTTTATATTTAGATGGAAAGCATGATGTAATGGATAGCAATAGACAGCCTATTTTTGTGCCACTCAATGATATCAGGTGAATATAATTAGTCTTGGGTGTCATATTAAATTTCCAGTTAACAGTCCTAATAAACCACCGTCCAATAAAGAGTATATTAGCTCTCGTCATATGATTTCTAAATCATCGCATACACTCAACAGTGCGTTTGTTTGAAACTCTTATACTAAGTAACTACTAGATGATTAATCTAGAAGTTACCTTATACGTGATGCATTTTACCACTTCGTCTAGGTAGAATTTACGATAATTGAAAGTAGTTTAACTGATTTTCTGACTAATAATTTCCAGTGGTCCAATTTAAGGCAGATAAACGCAAGTGAACTTTGTTTGGAATGTGCGAAAATAATGGGATCATGAATGAGGAATTTATCATTATGTGCAAATATCACAGTCATTTCTTGAATAACGTCAAACTTTTTCTTCACTCACATAAATCCAAATTGCATTGTCCAGACAGAAGTAGTTAACGATATGTTATTTGTCAGGTAGTCTTTACAATTTTGATAAATGAACTCTCCTTTCAGGCAACCTGATCAATCTAAGCAGTCCTCTCAAGTGTTGATGCCAAATTTGTGAAATTCCTCACAGATAATCTGTAGTTCTGTGAAATGGTATTAATGTCTGTTCCGTCAAAAAGTGATGACACGTAGTGGTTAGGATTGCTTATGGTTGTACACTGTATGGTGTTTTAAAGTTTGTATTTACTCTGATAAAGGATGTTATTGTTCATCAATGTTTTTTAGGGTGGTAAAGCATATGTAAGAGATCTCTAGACCCCATTTTCGTTTTAAAAAACCTTACAATACTCTATCTCTGAATAAACAATGCAATTTATTTGCTTGGGTTTAGATTGATAAATTAAATTTGAACAAAAACTAAGTCAAACTACAACTTACTGGGATAAAGGGTAGATGATAAACACAAATATTACGAAAGCTTGTGTGAGATGGCAAGAATTCTTTCCACAGATGAGGAATAAAGTCACTCGATATCGCGTAACACGTGCGAGGGGACCCATACTTCTGCTTATTTTTCTTGCCCTTTATGTCATGTTTACCTGTGTACTGATTGTTTGATAAAAGTCTAAACACCAAGTACTCCAGACCAAGTGTTCGTTTCAGTTTAGTTCGCTTTTAGGACAGATGAATTTGTAGCATGGCGTCGAGTCCCAATTGACTATGAACACCGCTACAGAGAAACTCGTGCCAAATGACTCCAAAAAATCCCCCGGAAGCCAAATATCAGAAGGCTGTTAATGGACCAAATCGAGATATATTCGCTGGCGATCTCGTGGTATCGAAAGGATACCGAGATCGTGCCAGGATACAAGCTTGGTTACAGAATGTAAACGAATTCGCGCGAAGTCACAAAGTGTAAGAATAATGGATGCTTTTTAGCGCAGTTAAACAAAAGCAGTCACTGGTACAATTGGTTATAATAATAATTGTTTTCAATAAACCAATCGTGTTCTCGTGATAAAAGTGAGTCACTACAAGTTCATCACGTACACAGTCTTACTTGGACCTTTGATTTGAATGCGTTTATGGTGTCTTAATAGTGCTTTCGGTTCAACAAGAAGTTATATGTGACCGAGGTATTTATGTAGTCACTTCAATTTTGTGGGAATTACGGGTTCTTTCTTCACAGTGCATACGATTAGATCCTTGTATGTGAAGAAGAATCCGCAGTTATCGCAAAAAGTTACTCAACCACCTTTTAAGAGTTAGTTTCTCACAAATACTGGAAAGAAACAATTGTCCACTCGAATCTGCGTATGTTTAATTTCGATTATGCCGTCGACATGTATCTCCAGGCACCGAAATCCGTCCAAATAATGAAGGTAAGTTTCGCACAGGCTTACAACAGAACTAAGCGGATAACTACCATTTCTCTCGAAGCACTTGGGATGCACTAAGTTCTTATATTCAGGACATATTTCATCACCTGTACAATACTTAGATACCGAACAAAACATTGAGGTCCCATGTGGTAGCTTCATAACTCCTCCTCTAGATCTTCTAAGTGGAGATGACACTAGTATATGGAGTTTGACAACACTTTAACCGTTAAGAACTATAACTGAAACGTGCCAACCCAGTGACTTCAGAAGAGAAGTTCGAAGAAATATTTGATATGTTGTCGATAGATGGTGAAGTAACAGAACTAAGCTGGCTAGAGATGTGGAGCCCAGGGTAGCCATACATACACACAAATTTACATACATATCACTTATGAATCTCCTTGACCGAAATGACATGACGTTAACGTGTTCAGACCTGTTCTTGATTGATCACATATTATTTTTACTGTTCCGTTGTACTATTTAAACTTGGATTAATTTTAATTTGGTTATTTATTCTCTGAAGAAGTGACTTACACTAAGTCACGAAACGTCAGAAAACCTAATTTTCTACTCATTGAAATATTACAAATATATTATTTATTTATAACAATCTACCCAGTGCTCAATTTATTCGAAATTATCAAATCAAACCTTGGTAATGATACCTAATATAATTGTCAGCTGACTGATAAAAGGGTTGCATCGTACCCAGATGGAACTACATAGCGTGTCAATCGTCTCACTCATGAGAATAAGTGGGTCTAGACTGAAGATGATGTATCCTCTTGGTGTGGGTATCGTTGCATTGATGTGTCAAAACAAAACCCAATCTAAACTATATTACCTGAATTGTGAATTATTAGTAAAACTAGCTATGATTAGAAATATTCGGATTAATGTACTAAGGATTCCCGAAATAGAACATTGTATGGTAGGCAGAAGTAGATGAACACGATCGAACGTACTGTAATTGGAATTCTTAATAAATGCACACTCAAGTACAAAGGTATCATTAGTTCCTACAAATACTACAACTACCACAGCTTAAATGAAAATCCAAACTCATGTAATCGATTGTGCATCTTCGTAAGTTTATCATGTGTCTGGCCAGCTTTTTTAGGCATAGACTCTACGATTTAGAACTTTCTCGTCAGTATTAGAATTAACAACGAGGATCGGAACGAACTCGCCTTGGTCTTTGTAACGTCTTAGGTTGTTATGACTGGTTTACATATGAACCAAATTTTTGCTGACCTGTTTTAGCAGATAATTTGTAGATTGTGGAAAAGGAGTTCTTGTACGAAGATTTTTGCGGCAAACAATTTCATTGTTTCTTTTGCATACGGTTTAACGATTCTGCACTGAAGGACTGCATCTGCTCTCGTTTCCAGATCTTTGAATTCTGCACCAGTACTAGAATTGACGTTTTTTACCAAGGTATTGATAATTCGCGCCTGCACATGAGAATAATATGGCTTAGGAGTTGTGCGTTATTTTTCGAAATTTGATTCCGTAGTCAGTAAGTTATCAAGCACTTCACAAGGGCTATCTTTAGTGGTCAATAAGGAAAGCTGTTCCTAAAGCATTTTTAAATTCTCTAGACCTAGGATAGGTTGTTCACAATCCAAGCGACTTCTCAGGAGTCCTTTAAGAGGCAACTTGACCTATTCTTAAGGACCAAGGACAGCATCACACTATGATTTACCAATTTCTTTTCCTCTTTTATTGTTAACATACCTAGGTTCCTGCCTGGAGGATTTGGTGATCCCCTGCTACTAGACACGGAAGCCTGTTAAGCGAAAGCTTCTTCTATTCCGTCCACAACCATTCGAACAACCATTTGAACACATGAATATTGGTACAAGAGAGCGCCAATATATATGCGCCACACAAAACAATGAAAATTCGAGAGGAATACAAAGAAAG